TCTCCTTATAATCCTGCTATGTCAGTACACTCACTCTGTCTTTGTCCCTCGCTCTCCTCTCTATCCCTCTAACTCTCTGCTCTGCTCCTGCTTCTCTCCTGGCCAGGTCCAGCCTGCGGGCTCTGATCCGTCTACTACTTTCTCTCTCATCTTCCAGATGCCTCTGGCTGTTCTCTCTCTCCTTCCCCTTAAACATACCATGGAGCAGTCGATTTATACACCAACCATCGGGGATAACGTAAGAAAAAGAAGCCAGACAGAAGGGAGCTCCTTAGGGTGCAGGCTGCAGCCAGCTGCGCCATGGCTTTGGAATCTTTGCTCATTGCCGTTGGTTGTGATATTAGTCACTTTCCTCCTCGTGGCTCAACTTGTTTGCTCCATTTATACTGTCCAGAAGCACAACCCAGGGAACAGCACCATCCACAAGAAGGATGCCCCCCCCCCCAGCTAACCCAGGACAATCCCTCAGAGACCCATCTCCCATGTGACTCCAGATCTCATCAAACCCACAACCGACAGTAACTGTAACAGAGGCCAGCTTGCAGCCCCATGGTCCTATGTGACTGCTGACACATGGACAGCTGCATCCATGACTAAAGGTAAGCTGACGGGAAGGGACGTCCCCAGCTGAGTGTGTCCCTTTTATCAGAGGAAAACAAAGTCTTACTAGGAGAGCCACTCATCTCACCGGTCAACAGTCCCATAGAACACGTGACTTAGTGACCATGAAAAAAAAAATTGGGAAATGGTAGTGTCTAGGGTGGAAGAGGCAAGGGAGAAGGATGGGCGGGGGGGGGGGGGGGGGGGGGGGGCCAACCAGTGGAGAAGCCCCGTGGCTAAGTGTGTGTTTTAAAAGCCTTGTCTGTGTGTGGAGTGGAGGAGAGACTAGGAGACAGACAGACTCCCTGGTAGGCAGACAGATGGGGAGAAGGGCCTTGGCTAAGCTATAAAGATAGTGAACTTCAAGATGGCTGCCTTCTTCACCCTCCTGGCCTGAGACAAAAGCCTGGCAGCTTGAAACAAAGGCCTTGTAGGCTTCTGCCTCTCAGCAGCAAGCCCCCTGTAATGAACTAGCTGACCATGTTTGAGGCCAGATCAGGATGCAGTCCAGCAAATGTTGTAGGCTGATCAATCATCCTGTCTTTCCTCAAACTGACCAATGTTAAATTGGGGGAGGAAGATTCTTAAAACCCCAGGCCTTGAGAAGAGCTGACATTGTTTGGCTTTGGGTCGCCAGCTCTGCCCTGCGGAGGGTCGGAGGGTCGTTCTCTCTGTTTGTCTGCTGCATGCCTGCGCTTCCCCGCCCCCAGTATCTTCAGTGGCTGATTATGTCTGCCCCTGTTTGTGTACCCGAGATTCCTCTGCGGACGCCTGTCCTGCTCCAGATTTCCCTGTCTTTTAATCCTCTAACTGGCTGAGAAAAGGAATCTGATCATGACCCCTACCTAAACTCCAACATTGCCACACTGGGTACGAGAGGGCTGCTGAGATAAGCTGTGGGGAACTCACTCAGGAAGTGCCCCGCAACCAAAACTTTGCACTGGGTAGAAGGAAAGGCCCTTTCTAGAGATCAGAAATTCAAGAAGCTGAGCTGGTGGCTCATGCCTATAATCCCAGCACTCAGGGAGCCCGAGGCCGGGGGATCTCTGTGAGCTCAAGGCCAGCCTGGTCTACAAAGAGAGTCCAGGACCACCAGGGCTACACAGTTAAACCCTGTCTCAAAAAGAAAAAGAAGAAAAAAAAAAAAAGAAGGAAAAAACAAACAAACTGAGAGCTCAAATTTCAAGGTGAGGCGTAGTGGAAAGGCAGCACCCAGGCCTCAGGGCCGCTGCTGGCATTTCCTTGCTGTGATGACTTTTATCACAGACTATTAGGTCTGCGCCCAGCTGTGCACAGGCCTTGGAAGACTGATGGTGCCCAGGAAAGGCAGGTTTGCCAGTCGTCCTCTGAGACTGACCGCAAGTCCAAGGTCTCCACCTGCAGCCCCCAGCAGGTTTCATGGCCCCTTATTCAGAACAGGACATGCTCCAGGCATGCCCTTCTTGGGCCACAGTGGGTACAGTGAGGCCTGGAGATGCAGCCTAGCACTCTGAGCTGGGCATGTACCCAGGGGCACTAGACACAGGAACGTTTTGAGGCAATGGACCTCAAAATGGGGATTTCGCCATGCAAAGGCGAAAGCCTGGTGCCAGCTAAAAAAGGGCCTGTCTCTGGAAAAGAGAATTCACAGTTCTGACAGTTGGTCAGACCGTCTAGCTTGAGAGACTGGAGCTGAGCAGATAATGGCAGGACTAAAGACACAGAAACTCTGGGGTACGTGGGAAGGAAGAGGCGTCCCTCACCCTGGAGTGTAGATGAAGCCTCTTGCCAGCCAGAATGTAAGAAACCAGCATAACTAAGAACTAGCTGTAAACCTGCAATTCTCTAGGAAGTTCTTCAGCAACCCCATTGAGCGAAGGCCGTGTCCTAACACCCTAGGGCTTCTTGTTTTCCTTTAGTAGATTACAATTCCACTGGAGGCCTGGGCAGAACCCCCATAATCTCAATTACCAGAAGAGATTAAGAGCACAGGCTAGGCGCGGGGGAGGGGAGGGGCGGCTGGCAATCTTTTGAGATGTGAGTTGAAAACCACCAGAGCTGAATATGCTGCCAGTGCTAAGGCAGCCGGCTGCAGCTGTCTCGCTGGAGCCTGTGCACATCTTGAGTGTGTGTTGCCGCTGTGACTCTTCTCTGAGAAGCCTGCACTGCTACTTTCTTACTGTCGAGTGTCCCTTACTCTCTGCTGAGAATCTCCCTCTCTCGACACACATATTTAAAGTCTATGTTAAAATATCTTTAATAAGATCCCTGAGGCTGGAGAGATGGCTCACTGGCTAAGAGACGGCTGGTTTCCAAACATCTGTAACCCCGGTTCTGGAGGGTTTAAGGCCCTGTTCTGGTCTCTGTGGGCACTGCATGTGGTACACAGGCACACAGGCAGACACCATACATATAAAATAAACGCGCTTAGTGAAATCCTCAACTCTGTTCCATTAATACCATCTAGTCCTGGGATTGTTTTCGGCATTGAAAACATGAATCCTGATTTGACATCAAGGTCCCTAAAAGATAAGGGGAACTCAGAAGGATGGATCAGCGGGAGGGAAGTGATTGCCAGTGATAGCTAATTATTTAATTTAATTTTAAGAAAGATTATGGGGACGCCTCAGGCTGCTGAAGAGGACAATACAGAGTTGTGTTGATGTCCCCTCACCACTGACAGGATCACATTTTGACCAAGATATCACAGCTCTATTTAAATCTAAACTTAATGTCAGTACCCCAAAGATGGCTTTAGGGCATCAGATCTCATCATTTGTTGTTCTTTCTAGTCTGCAATTATTCTCAGTGTGGCCGTACTGAAAAAAAAAAAAAAAATCCTTTTTCTGGCTTGTTTGCTTGACCTGCCACTGGAGCCCAGGGTATGGTCCTGACGACAGATAATATGTTTTAGGAACAGCTGAAGGCTGACTTCCCATAGACAAACACTGCCACCATCCCACCTAAGCCATCAACTGGGGGACCTCAGATAGCTGTTGAAGGCACTTCAGCAGTGTGATGCTGGAGGGAAGATGTGAGGGATGGACTGGACACACGAGCCTGGAGGAAACGGTCAGATAAAGGAGAGGACAGAAACAGGACAGAAAGGGGAAAGCTAAAGGAGAAGGGTAAGAGCTTGAAGAGAAAAGGAGCAGGAAACAGAGTAGAGGAAGAGGGGACTGTGGGAAGGAGAGGGGGCAGCCAGGGAGAGCCAGGAGGTAAGCACGAAAGAAGGGTAAGGGACGATTGCAGACAGAGGACACGAGGTCACAAGAGGACTGTGGGGACTCAGCCAGGCATGTGCTGACACCCGGGACATGAGTCACCAGGCACTGCCAGGCTGCAGCCCTTACAAGCAGGTGGCCGGTTTGGGCTGTTTGTTTTTAAACACTCTTTATTGCTTTCTAACAATAAAATGAAAGAAATCAAAACCACACAGGGCAGGTGCGTCTTGGCGGCGGTGGGGACTTGCCTCACATGTAAGAGGCCCTGGGTTCCACGGCTAAGGCGTGGGGGATGGGACAATGGGAGCAAATCTTTCGGGACCGGACTTGCCTCAAAGCATGTGGCACACACAAACCTGGCGTGGCAGCATCCACGCCACCTCTGTCGTTTCTGGTAGGATATACTGTTTAGCAAAGATTGTCGCGGTCGGCTATTGGAGCTGGCTACTTTCTGACATTTATTTTTGGTGAATCTCCGGGTATAAAGCAGACACTCACCCAGGATCTGTGAGAAGTCCACAGCCCTGCCCGGGGAGGGAACAGCAGTGTGTGGAGGGAGGACTCAGGCAGGGGCCTGCGGTGCAGGGCTGAGGGGCATCAGACTTCAGTTGCAGACATTCTGTTAGCCACAGACCTTCTCATCGCCTGGACCACGCTATCGCCACACTCCTCCCTCCTCCGCGGGGACCGGAGAGGTGATTCAAGCCTGCTGCCTGAATGTTTTGTACCTCCTTGGTGGAGAGGAATTTATGGGCTCAGTGGCGAATCACCCCATGAATCAACAGCCGGCCGGGTGTAGGAAGACAAGGTCTGGCAGAGGCCCGCTTGAATTTGCTTCAAGAGCAACTAACGCTGAGGCCTGCAGTGGGGAGAGGACCTGGCCTCAAAAGGAGCCAATCCCCGTTCTCACAGGCTTCTCAGTAGCCAGCCCAGCTTTGGTGAGGATCCCAACCTTACCCTCCTCAGTATAGCACAGCCATGTCCTTGGGCTGCAGTCTCCTGCCTCCTTCCGACCTGCCGCCTCAGAGAAAAGGCTAGCAAGAGCAAGGAGAGCCCCGTTCAGGGGGCCGAGCTGGAGCTGTGGCCAGCACCATGTGCAACCTCACGCTAACAGCATCCCAGTATTTTTGTCCTAACTGGATTCTTGCCTCATGTGTCCCCAAACATGGGAGAGAGAGAGAAAAAAAAAAAAAACTGAGAATAATTTATTGAAACTGGAATAAATATGTGAACATGGTTTTACAAATATGTATTTACAAGCTATTTACAAATAACTAAAAAATCATTGAGAGAGAAAGACGGTGGCCTCAACGAAGGGGCGGGGCCTCGCGATGGGCGGGGCCAAGAGGTTCCTGCTCTCCTGTGCAGGCCGCGGGCGCCCCCCGGAGGTAGAAGACATGTTTACAGCAGAGAGAGCCGCTTGAGGCTGCTTCTCTCCAGATCCCAATTTAGGAGCTCCCGGTGTCCCCACGGTCCTTCAAGTGCCCGCGCAGCTGCACCCCTTGCACGATCCTCTGCACCCAGGAGCGGTGAGCTAGGAGGCTGGTGTACACACCGGGCCGGTTGCGCTCAGCGCAGCCCTCTCCCCAACTGATTATGCCAGTCAGAAGCCAGGCGCCATCCACCTGGCACATCAGGGGCCCTCCAGAGTCACCCTGCAGAGAAGAAGGGAAGTCAAGGAACCCACGCCGTCAGGCAATGCGCACTGCCCCAGTGTCCTTGGAGGCTGCAGTACTGGGCCACCCGGTCTGTGGAGGACAGGCCTTCCAAACAGAACCGCTTCTGTTGGCATGTCCCCCCCTTACCGCCCCCACCCCACAACCACCAGGACCAGAGATGAGACCGCTTCTGTTTAAAGGATTAGAAAGTCCTTATACCAACTGGCAACGTAGGCACTGCAGCCAGGCTATATGCTGGCCACCTTGGGACTGGCCTTTGGGAACACGGTTCTAAGCCACCAGGCCATCCTCAGAATACCAGCTGCCAAGCTGCCGTGTTAGCGCTGAGGTGCTCTGTACGTAGCCATGTGTAAATAAGAAAATGAACGGCTCAGCCGGGCTAAAGGGGGCCCACAGCAGCTTTTGAGTCTCCCAGCTGGGGCCCGACAAGGAACGGGTACTCACCAGACAAGCATCACGCTCCCCTTCCAGGTAACCAGCACACAGCATGTCCTCAGTGATGGCTTCCTGCCCGGCACCCCGCCAGTACAGGCGTTTGCAGAGTTCTGAGTCGATGATGGGCACCTTGAGCTTCTGAAGGGTCTGAGGGTGGGGCAGGGGCACTGGGAACAGAAGGAGAGAGTCAGGTCTGCTCTACGGAGCATTCTCCAGGTGCTTTCAGGAAACCCTAGTACAGGATCTCCACCTCTTGGCCCAGTGTGTTCAGACACGGGTGTGTAGTGCTAGATTTTCTGTCTTCGATAAGCTCCCCCACCCTCACCATGCCCACAGAGCATGCCCACATGGCATCCCTAGACTTCCTACAAGGGCAGTGTGTTTGGTATCCCCTAGGCTCCGAATTCCGTCAGCCCCATACCCTCCCTGGGGTTAGTCTGTGGACCCCAAGGAAAGGCTGCAACTGCAGAGTCCCCGCATCTGCCCGTGCCCGAGCAGTTCTTCTGGACCCAGGTTACGGCTCTGGCTTTCTACCCTTTCTCCTTATGTCGTCTAGGTCTCCTCTGCTGTTATCTTCCATAGATCATTTCTGCTTGTTGGGGCTTATTCCAGGCTCTGTCGAGCTACCATCTGCCTTCTCATGCTCTCTTCTACCTCTTTATTTCAACTGGTTTGTGATTGTAGATGGTTTCTTCCAAACCTCTAGACTTGGTTTGAAAGTCGTGCTTTACAGCCATGGACTACATTTCCTCCTGGGAATTTTCCTTGCAGTTCAGAGACTATTACCAGGGGCGGCTATTCCTGCTTGTGCTGACTACATTTCCATCTTGCCACCGCTCCCTCCACGTCTACCCATTCTTGTGTCAGTCATCAGCTTTGAAAATCAATCTCTCTCTCTCTCTGTCCTGGAACTCACTATGCAGGCCAGGCTGACCTTTAACTTACAGAGTTCTGTCTCTCAAGTGCTGGCACTAAAGGTTGTGCCACCATGCCTGGCTTTTTCTCTCTTTCTTTCTTTCTTTCTTTCTTTCTTTCTTTCTTTCTTTCTCTCTTTCTTCCTTTCTCCCTTCCTTTCTTCTTTTTTTCTTCCATCCTTCCTTCCTTTTTTCTTCCTTCTCTTCTTGTTGCAAATCTCTATCGTTGCTTTAAAAGATAGCCAAAGATTCCTTTCACCTAGAGATGACCTAAAAATTGGCAGTTCTTTTCTTTGACTTCACTTCTCTAGTCCCCAAATCATTTTTTTTCTTGTCTCTATAATGTATATATGGCCTCTACCCTCTCCTACCCCTGGCATTTGCATCTGAGTGGCACCCAGCTGTCCCCGACCCTTCTGGATTTAGAGGAGGACTGTACCTCCATCGCGAATGCTTCCCCAGCCTGCGATCCAGCAGTCAGTGTTGGGAGGGAGCTGGACAGAGGAGTCAGGTAGGCAGATGGGCAGGACCCGCTCAGAGAATTTGATGGAGTGTTCCAGGCGCACCAGGGCAATGTCTGCACGGGTCCCCTCCTGAGAATACCTGGGGTGAGGCAGCACCCAAGCAACACCCACTTTCTGGGACCTTGGGCCTGGGTTCTCCAGCTGCCAGGCCCCTAACAATATTGAGAACAGAAATGGCTTGTCCACACTGCTGGAAGGAAAGGGGGAGAGGGAGATGTCAGAGAGAGAGTGCCTGGTACAGTGACAATCAAATATCTCCAACAGAACCCTGGACAGCCCAAAGCCCGAGGCAGGGTCCCGAGGGGTCGGGGCAAACCTGCTCCCACACACCTCCTGAAGCAGTGTGCAGCTGTGATCACCCAACGGTTGGTGAGCAGGGAGCCTGCACAGTGGTGGGTGCCATTCTTGAGGATGCTAACAATCCAGGGCCACTGGGCATCCGTGCTGTCCTCGCCACCCACAACCCGGTTCAGCTGCTGGGGCTTCCCGCAGTCTGGGGACCCTGGCAGAAGGGATGGAGTTCTGTCATCTCCACAGACACAATCGTCTTCTGGCTCGCCTGTCGGCCCACCTCCAAGCCCTCCAAGGCCTCAAGCCTGTGTCCCAGCGCAGCACGTGCCCAGCACAGGGCTTACTGCAGTCCCTGTTCCTTTTAGCTCTTGGATGGCTGGCCTTTTCCCTTCCTCCAGGCTTTAGCTGGCCTTCCCTCACTTCCCTTAACCTTGATTTCTGTGGTTCTGTTGGCCTCTTACCCATCTGTCCTTCAGCCTTTTCTCCTCTAAATCCGTCACCTTTTTTATAACCCACTCAGGCTCTTTTCTGTATTCCTTTCTTCTCGAGTTCTTGCTCCCCTCTAACTGCAGTCCCCACTTCTGACCTACCCCATAAGGTGAGAAACAGAGACCACGGGCACCCACCCCCCAACCTGCTCACACTCACCGGGAATGTTGGCAGCTCTGAAGGCAGCTGAGGGCAAGAGAACAAAGAGGGTCAGGCCCGGTGTGAGAAGCTCTGTGCTCCATGTCTGAAGAACCTCCATCCTGGGCCCTCCAGCACCATTCACACATGCATAGGCACACACACACACACACACACACACACACACACACGCCACAGCTACCTCTAAGCCCTGCTTGGGACAAACATCTTTAGACCCCTGCCTCCCAGGCCATCAGTTTTTGTCCCATCATACTACAAGGAGGAAGAGAGCTTGGAACATACACACAGGCACCCAGGTTTTCTGCCCCCCGCTCCCGTGAAAGCCTGGGCAGCTGTTCTCCTATTCCAGAACAAAAGGAGTAGACCCAAGATGTAAACCCTAGAGGAGGAAGCAGGAGACGGAGGACAAAGGGAAGTGACATGACAAGGTGTGATGAACCACAAGGATGAGAGATGTGTTCCCGAGCACTCACCCACATTCAGTTCTCATAGCTTCCAGGGAAACTGAGGCCTGGAGCACGAAGCTAAACAGCATGCCAGAGGCAGGGGAGGAGAGACAGAGGCACAGGGAGATGAAAGGAGACAATGGGAAGAGGAGAGAACAAATTCAAGGGAAGTTGCTGAGCTGAGCAACAGGAGAAGGTGACTGTGGGTAGGAAGGGGGAGGGAAAGGGGGAGGCGGGAAGGAGCAGCCCTTGGGGCTCACCTGTGGAAGCCAGCAGCATCAGAAAGATTAAGCTCCTGAACTGGTCCCCACCCAGTACTGGGGAAGGTCTGGAAACCACCACAGCTGAGAGGGGTGGAGACCCAGCAAGGCTGCTGGCCATCTCAAAGGACCTAAGGGTTGTGCTGGTTGCGACTGGCAGGGTGGGTGGCTCTAGTGTGTAGGGTTCCCTACAGGTCGCCCCAGGTTTTATCCTGTGAGGAGGAATGCTGTTGGACCAGTCTCCCAGGTGGCTGAGACTGAGCCACTCAGACTGTGGGTCAAGGAGGAGCTGGGGTTGCCAGGAGGAAGTAACCAGTTACTGGGGCTAGGGGTGCCATCAGGAGACTGGATGGGGGGGGGTCAGGCTCAGATGTTGTGCCCAGGGTACACCTGCAGAGGGGCTGGTAGAGACTTGTGTCTTTCTAGGGCACGGCTTTACCACTGACCGTCCAGGTAAGCAGAGGAAGATCCCTGTAGCTTGCAGAGCCGTTGGGGTGGGAAGGGGCTCAGTCTAGAGCGCCTACACCTGGGGTAGAGAGTGTTAGGAGCCCCTGTGTCCTTTTGTTGGGGTTGCCAGGGTGAACTTGTTCTTTAACGGCCCATGTCCAGTGCCCTGGTTGCTTCCATGACTCAACCCAGATACTTGGGGCCCTGGCATCCCGTTAGCCCACTTCCCCGAAAGCTGTGACTCAGACCCCAAGGGGGCGGGCATGGTGGCCTCTTGGCCACTTGGCCAAGCTGCTCCTGGTACTTCCACCCAGTTGCCACTGCAAGTGAACCTTGGGTGATTCATTTCTCACCTGAACTCCAGGAAGCAGGCCAACCGCAGAGCTGGAGCCATGGCCTCTGCCCACGCCCCCAGTCCACTTGGGAAAAACAGCCCTGCAGCCACACTCACATCCTGGGACCCCCACAAAGGGCCATGGAGCCGGGGTGCTGTGGCTTGGTGTGGATGGTTCTTGACTCAGTGCCATACACTTGTGGCACGCTGGCATCAGGCAGCACCCAGCCACATCTTCCCAAACAAACACTCCCTCTGCCCAGAGTGAGCTTCCGAGACTGGACCGGGCTGTGGGAGGAAACGAGGCTGAATGAAGACAACACTTCAGTCTTTGGCTCTGTACCCCACTTTTGCCGTCCCCAAGTCCCCTCATCACCCAAGATAAGAAAAATGGGCTGGCTTAGGGAAGTCAGCAGCCTGGCGGCTGGGCCAACTTGGGAGCTCAGTGTTCCCAGCCTGACCCTAGGGGGAAAGGGGAGGGAAGGGGTGCGGCTCACAGAGGTGCTCTGAATAATAAACAAACAAACAAACTAGGGAAAGAAAGAGAGGTTGATCTTTCTATGGCCAGCCACAGCTCTCCTGGGAGCTCCCTGTCCTGTGTCTCCAAGCAGTCCAGAGCTGGCCCTGCAAGGCCCATGCTGCCCACCTCAGTTGTTTGGGGCGAAGGTGATACAGGCCCAGTTAACATGGATTCCCCCTCCGGCGAGGTGACACCCTGCGTAAGCTTGCCAGGGTACCGTGGGCTGCAAACAGGCTAGGGTATGTGCTGTGGGCCACCGTGTCGGGAAGGAGGCAGGAGGCAGTTGGGGTCAACCTGTGGGCAAGACGAGGCAGAGAGCCCCTGGCCCGCCCCACCCCACACATGCAGAACGTGTGGCCTCAGAAGCCCAGTGATGCATTCTTCTCCCTCCTGTGATGGTGGATGTCACTACAGGGGCAGCCAAGATGAGGCCATCTTCTCTAAGGCTATAGAGCAATGCGGGGGGGACATGCCTTCTCACGTGTTACCCCGGAGGCCGCTTCTCCCACACTTCTCTAACACACTCCCTGGTGACACGGAGGGCTTTGGCCACCCCAACTCACTCCACAAACATTTCTTGGGCCCCTGCTGTTTGGCAAGCTCTGTACTAGGGTCACTGGGACATCCAATGAGGAGTGAGGCTCAGGTCCTTCACACGGGAAACTCACATCTCCCAGGGGTAGGAGGTAAGTAAGAATAATGAGGTACCTCAGAGGTGGACCTTGAAGTGTGCTGTGACATGCCCTGGTCGGAAGGGCATGTCCCCCAGCCATTCTCAGTCCCCCAGCCTGTTGCCTGCTCACACATACTAGGTCAAATGAATAAGTGATTGTGGAAGACATGAGGCTGAGGCCCAAAAGCTGAAGCCTCCTGCCTCTGCATTTCCTCTGCCCCCCACCCCCCAGCTTCCTGACTCATTGTCCTGGGCACCTAACTGGCAAGCACATCCCCAGGCTGCTGCCTTCTTTGAGATGGGTGACCAGGAAGTAGCCCCCCACACACACATACAGCAGAAGAGAAGCTCAAGAAGCTAGATGGAGATTTCCTGGTACAAGCTCTGAGAGAGACACCCCCCAATTCCTAGGATGTGAAGAGCTAGTACCCAGGGAAAGGGATGCAGCTCCCGCCTGGTGGGATTCAACATCCAGCACAATGTTTCCGGAGTGCCTGCCATGCGCCAGACTCACGCCCCGCACCCCAGCTGTGCTTCACGCTGTGCAAGGGATGGATGAGGTGCCCGGCCCTGCCACCCACACCACGGGTCCCTGCCAGCCTTCTCGGGGATGTCAGCCAATTCACGCTGAGGTATTGATGACTGATAGGGCCTCGGGAGCACTTACACGCTAAGAACAGCTGGAGCCAAAAAAAACGATGACTCAACTGAGGTGGCAGTTCAGATGTGGGCCCTGGAGAGTCAGGGGACACGCTTTGAACAAGGTTATCCATTCTTCATCCAACCAAAGGCTGCTGGGCACGGCCTAGTCCTGCTGGTCCTTGTACACAGTCCTGAAGTCATCAAAGGAACTAAGGCAGAACCCGTTAAGTCAGTCGGCAAGAATCACTCAGCACAGGGAAGGGGAGGGGGCAGGGGGGGGGACTGACCTCAGTGATAGACCAAAGCAATGCCTGCTCTGATGGCCGAAACGCCACTGAAAAGTGAATAAATCTGCCAGGGGTGGTGTCTCGTGCCTGCGATCCCAGCCCTGGGGAGACTAAAGCCGGACAGCCTCTGCAAATTTGAGTCCAGCCTAGGCCACACAGTGTGAGTTCTAGACAAGTGTGGGCTACACCATGGGAGCCTGTCTCCCAAAGGGAGGGGTGGGTGGTAGAGATGCAGCTCAGTTAGCAGAACGTGTAACCTGCACAAAGCCTGCTCAGTCCCCAGCACGGCATAACACCGGGCATCTTGGGAAGTGAAGGCAGGGGGATCAGGGTAGTCCTGGGATACATAGTGAGGCCAAGGCCCATCCTGGGCTACGTGAGACCCTGACTCAAAAAAAAAAAACAAAATGAAGTGAAGTCACTCGTAGATGTTAGACACCGGCCGGCTGGTTTAAGTTTCACTGTACCACCAACCTGGGCCTCAGCCCGTCTGCCTGTGAAAAGAGTCACTCAGAACAGGGCATGGTGGCACATACCTGTGATTCCAGCACTCAGGGAGGCAGAGGCAGGTGGATCTCTGTAAGTTCGAGGCCAGCCTGGTCTAAAAAGTGAGTCCAGTGCAGTCACGGCTACACAGAGAAACCCTGTCTTGAAACAAACAAACAAAATCAGTCAGCAGCCTCACAGCCTCACGAGAAAAGGTTGCAGGGCTAGGAAGGGCTGCCAGCCTTGCAGGCTGGACTTGGACTCACCCAGGAGACTTACCACTGGGCCTGTGAGATGATTCCAGAGGAGTTTCACTGAGGAGGGAGGGTCACCCTAAACTCGGGGGGTACTGCCCTAAGGGCTGCCGTCCTAGGCTCTTGTTATTTCCTCAGTGCTAGAATACTCCAGCAAACGTGAACGAGAAAGGGTTCTTTTCCTCCATGATTCAAGGTGTAAGTCATCAAGGCAGCAGGAGAGGGAGGAGGTCACATCACAGAGGAAACAGAGGAATGGAACTTATGCTAGGGTTCAGCAAGCTCTCTCCGCTGTATATACTCCAGGGACTCGTGGCCAGTGAATGGCCCTGCTCACTTCCCACATCAATTAGTGTAATTGGGATGATTCCCCCAAAAGCCTGCTTGGAGGTCCACCTCCCGACTGGATTAGAAGGGGAATGGAAGAAGCCAGCTGGGCATCATCAGCACCCATCACCCTTTGCTTCACAACCATAAAACGCTGCCTCCTGCTGCCGCCACCACGCCTTTCCCAGCCATAACGAAAGGGTTTCCCTCCAACGACGGGCCCAAATAAACCTCTTCCTTAAGTCCATTTGTTGGGTTGTTGGAAGAACTCTTTCTGGGGAGATGTAAGCAAACGTCTGTCCTCTCCTCACAGGGTTCCAGCGGCAACACACAGTACAACTCCAGCCCACCGCAGCCCAGGTTGTGGATGGAACCAATGAGTTTATGGGGTTTTACAAGTCATGGGTGAGGGGTTGCTTTACAGGTGGCACAGGTGGCCCCAGATAGCCACGCTGCCGGAAAAATGTCACCCCGGCACGGATGATGGCTACCTCGAAGCTGTGTGGATGGAATCCTCCCTTTTAGCTAACCATCCCAGTCTGTATAATCTAGCGTCAAAGCGCCATGTGAGTTGGGAAAGAATCACATACAGATCTGGCCAGACAGCGCAGAAGGGCACAGCTGGGCTTCGGGGCGCAGCGGACCCGTCCACCCCCCCCTTCCATAAGGGAACATCAGCAGCTATCAAGCCTGATCTCAGGGTCTCTTACAAATAGTCACAGCTGACGCAGACGGTGGCTGTCAAACTCGGAAGGTGGCGTCCTGCAGCACCGCATTTTGTCACAGTAATGGGAAAAGTAAGGCAGAAACCTGGTGCCAGTGAGAGGGTCATCGCTGTGATGAATCTGACCATGCAGTCTGCGGGCATTTGGACTGGCCTTGACAGTAATGTGGAAGACTTTAATAAGCTTTAGAAAGCTGTGACCAGGGGCTGATGAGACGGCTCAGTGGTCAAGGGCGCTGTCGGCTCTTCCAGATGGTTCTGAGTTCAATTCCCAGCAATCACATGGTGGCTCACAACCATCTATAATGAGATCTGGTGCCCTCTTCTGGTGTGTAGGCATGCAGGCAGGCAGAACACTGTATAAATAATAAATAAATAAATCTTTTTAAAAAGTAGTTTTTTGGCTGGGAGTCACCACCACATGAGG